GGGGAGGAAGAGAGAGGCTTTTTGAGCCATCTTGCGAGGAAGTGCAGAGTCATCTCGTTATTAAAGTCTTTATCCAATGAGGACTGAGAGGCCTGGAGGTCAAGGAAACAGCGGAGACATCGCATGAAACATGCTGCTCGTCTCAAAGGAGGCTAGAGTGACGTCATTCGCGAAGAACCTCCGGTTATTTGCGCTTGTTGGATCTTGCTGACCTCCGAGGCGAACTTCTCCTTGTCCTCGCAGGAACCTGATCCTCTCGGGGAGTTTTGCTGCCTTGGGTTTCGGCTCGGGGAGGAGAATTACTTGGAGACGGATGAGCTGGCTTCGAGTCTCTATGTAATAACCGGAGAAATGCGGGCGAGTTAATTGGCTTAACATGGACCAGATCTCCATTCCCCCTTGAGAGAAATCTAACTCGAGATGAATGGAGTTCTCTTATGGGAACTAGTCTCCTGTTTCTTCAGGATAGTTTCTCCGTAGAGCAGAATGGAAAAACCCACTTTTTCCTCTGCCAAGCCAGTTCAGCCGTGATTGTCAACTGTACTTGGGACAGAGCCGAAGTACAATTGCATGCCGATACTTGTGCATGGCAATTTTCAAAATAAGAACTTGCACTTTTTCTTATTGATTATTTCTATGGTACTTTGGAATAAAGTACTTATGTAATTTTTTTTTTAGGTTCTTTCAAAAACACTGGCAATGATCCCGCAATGTATGGGCAAGCTCGGTACTCTCTTCCCGGCCACAACTATGTGCTTTCCCGGTTGTGACCACATCCTTGAATCAAATGTCCGCATGAGGGGCACTGAACTCACCGTCAGGATCATTACCGCAAGAGAGATCTAATCTCGAGACTCATCTTGTATCAAACCTCTCCTACCTTCTCCATTTTTGTTTAGGTTTGGCCAGTATCTCAAAGTTCTTTTTATGGGACTATCATCATTCTTGTTTTTGTCCTTTATTTTTATTGCTTATGCATTTGTCCCTTCGCAAGTGAGTGCAAGTCGCGTCGTCAGCAGGTGTGAAGGGAGACATTCGCACGTGGCCAATGTGACGCAGAGGAGCATAGGCACAGTGCCAGGCGAGTGAGCGATCGTGTAAGGGGGGAATCGTCCCCTGGTTTGCACGGGTCTCTGTACCTGCGACATGGTTTTCGTCAGGTGATCGTCTGGATCTTTTCACGATTCGCGTGGATGTGTGAAGGAAGCGTGTCTAGATCCGAGTGCAAGCGCGAGTGCAAGACGAGGAGGAGACTCATCTTCCACGGCTCTTTTTTTTCCCACTCGTCATGGTGTCATTTTGCCGTCACAGTGCGCGTGAGAATGGAAGCTAAGTGCCTAAGTGCAGAATCGTTCGTGCTTGTCACGTACGGGTGGGGAATCCTATCCGCTAGACGGGCATCGTGTTCCAAGGCTCAGGTATCTTGTCTGAGGTGTTCGGGCATCTTGCGGTGCGGTTGAGTGCCCAAAAATAGAGGGGGATTCAGGGGGATGCCTCAAGTAGGATACAGTGGCGTACGCAGCTGTTTAGTGGGGGCATGGGGGCGCGGGGGGGGGGGGGGGTAAGGGGGGCTCAACGAGACGCACCATTTATGGCGCTTCACTTTCGCGCGTGGCACGAGACAAGACGTGGCAGGAGGAGCTCATCAGAAGACAAGATGATTTCGTTTGGCAGTGAAATAGGCGAGGCCTCTTTCGCTCGATTGCTCGCTTCAATTTCATGTCGGGAGTGTCGTGATGGACATGAATTTACTCCAAATGCCAGCTTCAAGCTGGATTGCATGCGCCTTTCCAAAGTTTTTACTTCTTTACGAGCGGGAACCCAGTGTCTCCTTGTTCTTTTGAGATTAGGAACTTTACCACAATCAAGTTCATACCTCGCCACATTTATTGTCCAGGCAGCAATCAGTGAATACCTCTTTCTAGAACGAGTTGCGAAGTCGCCCATGAAACCAGTTGATCGATGGACCCAAGGCTGCATGGTGTCTGATTTTCTGTGGGTTATGCAAGCTTCCATTCACCTCCGCAGCTATAGGTGGCGGCGACAGTTGTTATCAAGGAGAGTAGAGACGTAACACAGTCACGTCCTAGGCCTACTTTTTGCATGTTTTTTTCTATCGAAGACCGACGATCACACGAGCGAAGGTTGCCAGGGCATCCCGACTTTAATACTCGGAATTCGGGGCTCGTCGTCCTGAGAAGTCAACCCTGTCACGGTTGGAATAGTGGCCTCTGACCTTCAATTCCACTTAGTCCTTTAAGCAGAGTATAGGATATGTTCTCGTCAAGCTTTAGTATATTACGTAGGTTTATTACGTCTTTCCTTATGGCGCCTTGAGATCTACTCTCACAACAGGAGCCGAGAGGGGCGGGAGGGCCAAGCCCCCTCTCCCCTTCCCATTACATAAGCAATTGATGTGATAAGGTAACGAATGTTCCCAGCCTCTCTCGTTTTACGGCTTTCTTTTCGGGGACATCGCCTTCAAGGTTTCCTGACCAACCTGCTACACGGTCCGCCTTTACTGAAGCAGGAAAGCATAGAAAAGGGAAAGGTTTTTAAATGGGGCGAAACCAGTTTATGCATGTCTGGTTTGGTATTCCACCGATGATTATTGACACAGCATGAGATGTTTACGCTCTCTTCAAGGTCGAGGGACAAGGAATCCCCTCGCGGGTTACTTGAGAAGCGATGCTGGGGAGAAAAAAAATACCGAGCTCGGCGTCATATGCATCTCAAAGCAACTGCACAAAAGAGATGTTGAGAAAAAGGCAAGGACGTAGCGAGTGAATCAGTGGAGTCAGAGAGGAGCTCTAGCGCGTGCGCTGAGCCCTGTTGCACTGAGAAGGCAGAGGAGGGTCGGACAGATAATATGGCCTCCCGCATGGTCTTTGTCAGGCCTTGATCACCTGCCGTGTATTCTCTGCATTGTTCGCGTGCACTCACTCACGACCAGGCGGGAGCGGGACCCACGCCTAACGTTAGTCCTAATGATCGTCCTGATTGTAGCTAACTTTTTCTTTGTGGTGTAACGGTGCCACGTTCAGGCGTTGGACTAGGCCTTCGTGAGGTCTTGGTTATGGTCTACCCTTGCCTTGGCTTAATTCTTGGGCTTGGCTTAGTTCTATCGTTCACGGTGAAATATTTTCTCTTGCAGACGATGGATTGTGGTACCCAAGCGTTCACTTTAGACGGTGCAGTTGAGAAGAGTGGATATTCAACTCCTCCTAGCAAGCGTACTTCAACATCTAGACCGAGGAAAATTTCCTCCTCCGAGAAACGGGTTGAATTTGTGGAAAAGGGAGAAGTGAAGGAAAAGCGTGAAAAGTACCTCACTGCCAAATATGGTGCCCACCAAATGTGTCTCATCAGGAAGAGGTTGGCTGTAGAGATGTGGATGTATGATGAGCTTCAAGCTCTTTATGGGAGTGATGTGAGTTACACAAGAAACCAGCATCAAAGTGCCATTTCTGCCAATTTTGGCTGTAAGTAGAATGCTTGTGCGATTTTTTCATACAGGGAGATGCAGATTCACTCTATGGTGAAGTAGATCTTGATGAAATCTTGGACCTTCAGAATGACAATCAGCGCAGGGCACATCTTCAGGTCAGTTTTCACTGCTGAATGTGCCTGTTTTTTTTGTTGTAAAGAATGTGCCCTTGAAGCAACAGTTCATTTGTGAGGTAGCATCCAACTGAATAATCTGTTTTCGGGTTGGAGTTGTACCCCTAGATAGTGAACAGAGGAAGCACTACTTCATGAGGATCCACTTCATCAGATGATTCAAAAACTATCCTTGTGGAAGGTGTCATTGCCTGCAATTGATGGAAGGGCTCCTATTCAGGGGGTACAAATTTAATCTGAAAAGAGTATAGTGGAAGGAATAGAGGCTGATATCACTTCCAGGTGCCCATTATATAATGGTTCTCCTTGCACAGAAATGGTAAAATTAGCCCTATGAAAAAAAAGGCAGAATCTCTTTCCCAGATTTCAAGAGAGATGACATCTGCATGCCAAACAAATCAGTGCATTCAGTATCCTGAGTAATGAATTATTGCCTTAATGCATGAATATGCTTTAGCCATGAAACTCAATCTCCAGTCACAAGACTCAAAGTGTAATTAACAGACCTCTCTTTAATCTAGAGGCTATTCCAGTTCTTGGGCAATCAAGAGGCTTAACTTTATTGCAATGAAAGAAGTCCTTCCATGTTAAATGAAGTCACTTAACAATGCTATGCTGGTAAAATGCTAGCAAATACATAAAATACATGAGAAAAAGGCATAAGAATTTTAGCCATGGAAAGATGCAAACCCATGACTACATTGACACCCCACTTCCAAAACCCTCTGTATACCTGCCAATCCCTTCCCATTTTCAGTAAGCATTTACTAGCATGCTAAAAATTCTTGAATTTGCTTGGGATGTAGGTACAGTCTTAACAAATTTGAATTCCAGCAAATTAGACTCATGCAGGCTCTGAAGATTGATAAATGCCTTGAATAAATTGCCTTGTTACCTGCTAATGTGTAATATTGATTAAATTTGGAACAGTGACAAGTTTTTTGCCAATGTACAACATTTTTCATCACCCAGACCAAATTTATGGGTTTTCTTGAGCTTACTACATGTTGAATGCCCTTTCACCTGTAACTTTGTTCTAGAGAGGGTCTAACACTGGAAAGACAGACTATAAATGTCATACAGGTTTGCCTTTTCACCCATTCCTATAGTGCACAATGATATAAATTAATAGCTCCCACTTAGTTTCATCTTCATGAGGTTAGTCAAAATAGATAGATACTTGTTCATGAGATACTTGTTGCTAAGACCAATATTGCAGATGTCACATCTCTTAGCAAGTGTGAAATTCTGTTTGAAGGGTCAAGTAGAAATATTTATGCTTTGAGGAAGAATGTTTTTGAGCTAGTTAGAGCTTTGCAATGCATTAGGGTTTCAATTTAAGTTTCTATTAAAGTGGTAGTTTTGAATTTAACTGTTAAAGAGTTTGGGACCACTTCACCTAGGTCTCCAAAAAGTGAGGATGAGAAATCAGGCTTGATGGAAAAATTATATATTCCTCATTTTTTTATTTTCACCTCTTAGGCAGATTGCTTGAATAAGTCAAAGGCCTGGAACTGTCTTGGGAATGTGAGGCATATGACCAGTCATGGATGTGGGTATTGCTTATGCCATCCATGTATTCCCTCTAGACATGTTCCTCTAGAACAGTGATGCACAACCCATGCCCTGCGAGACCTTTTTTGTGGCCTCTTGGATGCCTCTGGTCTCTAAAAATCCACATTTATATGTGGCCTATCTCAATGTGGTTATTTATGGGGAAAGGGTAGTGCACCACTGCTCTAGAATACTGACTAAGTCTTTTTATTTTTCAAAAGGGATGCCTGATATTTAAAAAGGAGAAGAAAAGAATCAATCCCGTTGAACACCTGTATCATAAAGAAGTGATCTGACTTTTCTCAGTAACTATAAAATTTGATGAAAATTTTGGCAAGTTTAAATGTAAATCTGGCATATTACAAAATTGGTCAAGTAAAAAATGAAGTTCTCTATGAAGTCATTACCTCATTCATTAATACTGGTGACACTGAATGAGAAACCATCTTTAGAAGCATGGAAGGGTGTTTTAAAATGCCCTGAAAGAATTTGAGAATGGGAGCATCATGGATCCTCAATTAGGGTCTAGTAATGCTCAATTTGAGGCAATTTTTATTACAGCATTCCCCATCTAGTTATGGTAACTTAGTAGTACAACCAGAAATATTTTCATTGTGTCTGTTTGCAGTTGTGACATCACTTTGTTCTGAAACCAACATAACCATTGAATTGAGACTTTTATGTTGCAAAAATCCAAGATGATTTCTACAGTTTTCTTGGAGAGCCAGGATTACATTGAAGATCAAGTCTTGTGAAAGTTCCCATAAGATAACAGGACATGATCTATACCTATCAGCATTAGTCCCTGAGAGCCTTATTTATATATATCACCACCTGGCAAGAGGTGTTTTTGTGTTTCCCACAACTGATAAGTTGTCAGAAATAGAGGGACCACCAAAATGCGTCTTCAGAACAATCAGCTTGTTTCTTGGGAGACTCAGAGAGGTGGGAGGGAGCCTTGCTAGTGGGACACACTAGTCTACATCCCCTGCAAGGGAGGTGGTAGCGTTGTGTATCTTATCAGTGGTGGCTTGTGATATGCAGCAGTTTGTCAGTGGAGACAGAGGAGATCGGCCTCTCCTGTCTTCACCCAAGAACTACTACTGCTGCATATCACAAGCTGCCACTGCTTGTTATACATTAAAAAGTTCACCTTGTATGGGTTCTAAGTGGAGAATGCATTTTAAAAAAAAGATGAAACCTTAAGATTTTGTAGATGATTATTGAGTATTTTTTTTATTCTCAATAGAAACTGTTGCAGAATGCCCAAAAACCTCCAGATGCTGTTGCAGTGAGTTTGACATTTAGTCCATGCATAATTGGCTCTCCTAAAGATCACTGCCACTAAGCAGACCTCTTTTTATCCATACAGAAGTTCATTGAGGAGCTCCTAGAGAAGGCGAAGACATTATAACAACTATGTGTCAGCTTCCCATCCTATTGAGCTAAGGGGTTCTCCTTAGCACATTTATGTGCCATCATCATCTAGGCTTGACTCTGCTGGTAGCTGTCTGAGGGTCTTTCTGAAGTATCATGTATGCATTCTAGCCATTGGTGATTAAGTACACAGTGAATTATTTTTATGCTTCCAGTTGTTCATTAGTATTGTGAAATGCCCTTGATTCTTTGCTCATCTTTTTGCCTCATTGGAACTCTGGGTTACTGGAGTGCTAGCTCTTTTTTAAAGGAATGGAAGGAATTGCAAGATAGGAGTAGCTTCATATTTTCATCATTATGGTCGGTGTGACTACAAGCAGTGATCACCATAAAGTTTTTGATGAACATTTTTTCAGGTGGTCAAGGTCGCTCCAGGGAAAGCATCCTGTTGAGTGACAAGGTGTTTGCACAACTCTTATTTTATTGGCATATCAAGTCTTATTTGATCTCATTCATTCACATGAGGTGCAGAATCTTCATCTGGAACTAAGGCTTGAAGGAATTCTTCATGCCAAAGCAAAACTTTGTTTCATTATTTCTATGCTTACTCAGAAGATGTTTCCTTTGACAGAATGGCTCAGCATCTTTATTTGAAACTACCCATACTGGTCCTTCACCTTTGTGAGAACCAATACATTTTCTGAGAGTTTATTAGTATTAACACTTAGTTTGTGGCAATGTATTGGGAGCCCTGTCAGAGTTGCTCAGGAGTCAGAATAATACAAATCCAGGCAATCAACAGTTTCTCCATCTTGAAATCTTAAGAAGTGTCTTTCCTTTGCAGTTGTTCAAGATCTGAATTTTAGATCAAGTACAGGATCTATCAGGGTTTTAGAATTAAAATTGTTCTTCATATTTTTCCTTGTGAAATAATCTGTTTTACTTCCACTTATTGGGCCTCCAGACTTTCAGATGGAAGTGAAATCTCTTAAGTTATAAAAGCCACAGATATATATACTATTTCTAGGGCTGTACCAGTGCAAAGGCAATTATAGAACTGGTTGCTAACATGCAATCGCCTGTGGCAGGTCTTGACACTGCTGATGCTTCCCAAGCAAAATAAGAGAGAAATAGGAAACACATAAACATGAATGTGGCCCATTATTGGATTTCCTATCACATTTCCAAGAAATGGAGCAAGTGTTTACCCACACAATTAGATGAAATATTGTATGACATGATTCAATCCTTGGCTATGGCTGAAACTTGAATCGAATGATGGCATTAGGCATCCTACCAGAGTTCTTTTATAAGGTCTTTTTGAAGAAATCACAAGCCAATAATGCAGCCGTTCTCTGCTGCAGAGACTGTCAAATGATGGCATTTGGTATCCCACCACATTCAAAATGGTAAGTAGAGGCAGTGTCATAAATCCCCCCCCCCCATTTGCCAATATCAACATCGGCACCAGCACCAGCCATTGGTACACCCCTAGCTATTTCATTTATCATTGGTATACTGGTTATGTTCTCCTGGTTTATGAGGCATTGGACTTTATACTAGACAATATGGCATATATGTATATTTTGTCAACTATTTTGTGGCTTTCACTTTGAAGGATAGGTGAGGCAAAATTCACCCTCCCGTATTACATATTTCAACACAATCAGAAATTCAAACAGCCCTTTTCAACCAAATTGCACCAATGTCTGGTCTCAGAATGTGAATGGGCAGTGCATGCATTTTCCTTTCAAATAGTATAGATCCGAAAAATTTTTAAAACATAATTGAGGGGGGGGGGATTATGAGATTAAGGGGGTCAGAATTTTGTATCACCTACCCTACTCCTTCTAGGTCCATGATAAAGAAAAGTACCTCAAGGTATGAATGTGATTATGTATTGTACTAAAATGTGTGACTTTTTGTGGATGAGTGCCATGAGGCATTCCTAGCCACTGTGACATGGTTTTTATTTGGTACTCTTTCTAACTCCATGACAGAGGAAGTACCTCAAAGCATGAATGTGATTATGTACTGTATTGAAATGCTTGGCTTTTTTTTTCCTGTGTGAGTGCAGTTTAGCTTTCATTTCTAGTGATGTGCTTCAGTTTGAAATGTGTTCCTATAAGTATTATTTCAGTGAACAGAAGGCTTTCAAGATGTGGCATTATCTGGCAATATGATCATTTTAGTGTCCAAAAACTGTGAAATTAAGGTAATATTTCATATTTTTGTGAATTTTTCTGTGAGAGGTGCACTCTAGGTTGCTGCCAATGTAATTATGAACTTCAGTAATGTCATGGTAACATATATCCTTTCCACTTCAATATCATTGAAAGGGCCACTTCCATATGCACCAAACCAAATCTCCTAATACCCTATTGTGTCAGGAACTGTGTTATGTCAATGAGTTCTGTGATTACTATTTCATTCACAACACTGATATTTCATTAAAATTTCCAAGGTACTTCAGACTTCATATAACTGCCCTTTGTATTACTCTTTTAAAAGCATTTTAAAAGTATTGATGGAAAATTATTCTGTTGTATTTTTTATATGCCCTGATGAGTTGGGTGGGACTCGGTTTGCTTTGCATGTAGATTGCCCACTTGGGTCTCCACTACACTACTGTTTGGATAAGATTTTCATTTGAATAGAAGTAATGGCAGTGGATTTTATGTTCCCTTGTGTAAAAATTGAGTTTTATCTTTCACAGGAAAAATCTATTAACGCTTTATATAGGCCTTGGTGATAAGATGCAAGGCGCACTTCTCTTTTTGAGGGTACAAATAAATCTCATATTTGCTTATCTCAACAAAATACCCCAAGGCTGGAAGCAAATCGAGTGCACCCAAAATTCACTCTGAACTGTTTGTATTTTTGAATGCCATAAATACTGGAAGGACACATCAAGATATACTCCTTTAGTCTTCCAGGATGCCAGGATTGTTTTTTTTTTTGTCAAGCCAATATGTATTTTGATAAATCATTATTGATGCATGTTGCATCAACTAGATAGTTTCCTTATGTGAAGTATGTTGCATCAGTTAGATTATTTCCTCATGTGATGAATTATTGTATCAATTGCATTCACTGTTCCTCTATGTGGCAATAAAGAGCAGTGTTTGCAACTTCTTTGTATTTTTCATCATGTTGAACAAGAGATAATATGATTATGCCATTGAGCCTACTTCTTTTCATGGTATGAAGGTCACTGAAACCTCTCATTGGCAGACTCAGACTATGGCCTATTGACTTCAGAATGCCTCTTGCACACTATTTCTTTAGAGTTGAACAAGAGAAGATGTATCCTGATTTTTTTTTTTTTACTACCCACTCTTTATATACATATACATATATGTATATATATCAGAACATATATCAGGTGCAAAGAGAAGATAGTATATATTTTTGAATTTTAATATCAAGATATTGGTCTCTGCTATAGTTATGTATGTTCCAGAATGTATGTAGCCATGTCTCATCTCTATAAAGTTTTTTCAGAATGTTTTTCCATCTGGCTATACCACAGGTGGTCACTGACTTTACCAAAAGAGTGACTCATCAATAGAAACAATGTTTCATTCCTGTCTTCCAGCACAAGGATGGTTCATCATGCATGAATTGAGGAGTTCTCTGAAAAAGGACTTACAAGTGGCTGCCATAGTGAGGCAGCTGCACACCTGCCTGCTTTCTAGCTGGAGCATGGAGGGAATTGCTTCTCCCTTCCTAAAGCACATCTAAATCACCTCCAGATACTCAATCCTGTTCCAAGTGTCCAAAAGCAATGTATAAGCAAGGTTATGGAATAAGAGTGTAGGGGTACTTATGCTCTATTTCCAGAGAACTCCTCAATCTCAGTAGGCCTGCCTTGAACTTGCATGGATTTACAAATATTTTTCTTGCAAAATCCAATGTCCTTGCATGACCAAATCAGAATTGGCAAAATTCTAAAGGAAAAAAACTTCCATTATAGACAAATGTAAATGCACATGTGTTGGAATAGATAGCTCTAACATTCATGGATTTTCTGATATAAAAATACTAACCAGTAAGGTTTTTTATCTGCCAATGGTACATGTATGTGTATATGGCAGTTGATGCCCTTTTGGGTCCCAGGTATGGTAAAATACCCAGTGAAGGGGAACAGCACATAAAAATTCCAACAACTAAACTTGGATAGCAGGGTCATTCAATGATAAGTAATGAAAAAATATGCAAATTAATGCCCTACCATCTCCAAATTTGATTAAATATGGCATACAAGATTCTCATGCCCCCAAACCAAGTGTAACAAAATTATAGATGTTGCACCCACAGCTGGCACAGGGAGAAAATCTCCATGGAATGCTTCATAGAAACACATCTGCTTCCAAATGAATCTGGTTATATTTCATCTAGACATCATCATCAGATTCATTTCTGTCTGACGCCTATACTATTTTAATTCACAATGAGCCTGATGTCATAGATTCAAGTGTACATAGCAAAACATATATAGCAATAGAAGTGCAAAATGTCAACAATAACTTTGCAACATGACTGCTATAGCTTAAAATCACAATTGATAAAATTTTGAATGATATTGCAATAAGACAATCACTGCAATTATGATGCACTCTTAATTGTTCAGTCATATTAATAAGAATGCAACCTGATCACTATCAACAAAGTAGAGGTCTGACAATAAAGTAACGAGACTGATAACACTGCAATGTGTGTGGCAACACTGGGTTGGTGGCGATTGCTGTAACCTGTGAGTGTATGTTTTAAGTCTGTGCAGTAACAAACTTGTCGTGATACTTGTAACGATTGCAGAGCAGTACCACTTTACCTAAAGAACTGTTAGGGGCATGCATTAAAAAAATCAAACTCGAAAAAAACTCCAACCAATTAACCAGTTAAGATGATGTTGTGTTTTTTCGACTACAAAGGGATAGTGCATGATGAGTTTGTCCCTGCTGGTAAAACAGTCAACCAGCTGTTTTATCTGGTAGTTTTGAAATGTCTGAGACAACGGGTTCGTTGTGTGAGGCCGGAATTGTTCCCAGACAAGTGGATTTTGCACCACAATAACCCACCTTCGCATACAGCACTTTCCATTTAAGAGTTTTTGGCAAAAAAGTCAATCACAGTACTTTAACACCCACATTATTCACTGGACCTTGCTCTGTGTGACTTTTCCTTGTTCCCTAATGTGAAGAAACACATCAAACACATTTTGCAACCGTGAAAGAGATTCAGAAGGTTACGATGGGCAATATAAACATCTTGCAGGAGATAGACTTCCAGAAGTGCTTCGACAGTTGGAAAAAATGCTGGAATGCATGTATAGCTGCAAGAGGGAACTACTTTGAAGAAGACCACCACAGTTTACAATAATATAAAAAATATAGCTATTGGAAAATACAGCCTCGTTGTTTTATTGTCAGACCTCGTATTCCATGGAGGGTTTCCTCATATGGTGGCTACAGGTGCAAGAAATTTGAATTTGTTACAGAAGTCAGTCATCTATTTGGGAGACTGATGCTTTTCAAAGGTCTGAAATACTTATCTCCGTGAGCTGAAAATCTGTTGAATAATGTTGGCCCATTTTGAAGGCAGACATCAAGAATTAGTAAATTAGGGAAATTTTCTTTCAAGGCAGGAAGTTCCTGTTATTCTGGGCTACACATTTTTCTCACAATTATTTCTAGTACCTGCAATTCTTTTTGATGTCATTGACATTTATTATGAACAATTTATGCTAGCAACTCACCCAATCTCAACCATAAATCAAAGAAATGCTATTCTTTTCAATTATACAGGGTGGGCCACAAAAAGGAACACATTTTAAAAATTCATAACTTTTTTATTACTGCAAATAGAAACATAGAGTCAACTTCACATTTTTCAGACATTCATTAAGTTTTTGCCTGACTACATAAAATGTTCAAAATGTCCACCACTTTCTGCTATACATTTGTGAATATGCATGACAAAGTTTTGCATTACCTTCTGAAGTGTTTCTTTTTCGATGGTGGCAACAGTTTGGATGATGAAATCCTTTAGTTCAGTAATTTTCAGTAATTTCAGTAGTGAAGTTGACTCTATGCTTCTGTTTGCAGTAAAAAAGTTATGAATTTTTTTATGTGTTCCTTTTTTGTGGCCCACCCTGTAGAAATCTGACATTCTTAAGCAGCAAAGTGTTGATGGTTCTTGTCAATAAAGAAGAACAGTGGTGCAACCAGCCCTAAGGTTTGGGGGGGTTTGAACTTCTCATGACCTGTCTTTCAAATGTCTCCGATGCAAGAAGACATCATGAAATCATCAGGAGAGATATACTCAACAAAAACTAGAATGGGCACGAACAAAGAAAAACAAAGAAAATGAAACCAAGAAAAATGTGATGAAATGGTGGAAACAGAATTTGAACTCTAAATGATAAAAGCACATTTGATATCTGAAAAAATGCTTAAAATTAACTAAATGAATTGCAGGATTCAGCCCAAATATCACTGCACAATATGCTACTGAAAATTCGTTAACCTGTACATGATTCATGCCCTTTATTTGAATCGTCATCCTTCCGTTTTCATAAAAAATTCAGTAGTGTCACATGTGCTGGATGTTTCCTTGACAGGTTCACTTTACTAAAGTGAGTAGCTACAAGTGACTGGCATGACCTTCACCTTTCACCTCCAATCTTTGTGCCTTTCTAGCCTCGCTCTTGGGTCATTTGCTTGTGGTATCTTTCTGCATCCCCCACACATGGGAGAGAATGGGAATGAGAGGTAGAGAGCAGGGCATGAGCAGGGGTTTGGGGGGGGGGGGGTTGTTCAGACCCCTGAAGTAGAGGAATGTCCATTGCTCTTGCAATAGAGATGACTTTATTGGGAAGCTGACAAGGGAGTAGCAGGTACATTTTCTTAGCCTGTCAAACATATCAGGGTATATGTGGTAAGGTGCTTGCATAAATTGTTCTTGAGTTACAGGGCTATCAATATCGGAGGTTAGCTGGTGACCCTACATATCAACCACCCTGTAGCATTTGGTCTAATGAGGCTTATATACGACATTTTCAGGTTTGGGGGCAGAACCCAGTATACCAATATTCATCAAAAGCAGAGATGGTGGGGTACTGTTTGATGGATTGATTTTTTTATGTAACTGCCCAGCATGTACACCCCTGTAGAGACAGGCTCCCAACCTGCCAGCGTGTCACTTCAAAGCTGTGCTTGCTACATATGCTACAATTTTCCTGTGCCATGGCCCATTACTGAGTACAGGTCCTTAACAAGTCCATCACTGGGTATTTTACCCTACCCATACATGGTGGTAGAGGATTAAGAGTCATATTCACTCTAGGGCTCTGCCATGCATAAGTGGTAATGTAGGAAACTTGTGAAGGGAAGCCCCAAAGTAAAATGTGGATATTTGGGTATGGTTCTTTGATTTGGAAAGTGGATTTTCCATATAAGGAGAGGATGGTTGGCTACATAAAGGGATATCAACGACGATTCTGGCAAGCCAGTATTGATCATCGAGGAACTCCTGAATATGTGAGTTTGTTCATCTGTTCATACACAGTCAACCGAATCTCAAACCAGCCCAGTTTAAAGACCAAGTTTCTAAGTATTTGTGTTTTGTGCTATACAGCCAGGAAGAGTGGTGACCCTTGTTCCATCTGATGATCCAGATGTGAGTTTCTCATTCCAAGGTTCTTATTCTCTGCACAACATCCAGAAATCCTAGAAAAGAATAAAATTTTCCACAGGCCCAAGTTTGGGGAGTGGCTTATGAGATAGGTCCTGATGATCAAGACCTAGTGAATGCAAAACTAGGAGAGCGTGAGAAGAGATACAAGAAGTTGCCTGCAGTTCCTTTTTATTCTCGAGAAATGCCATTACTTCCAAAAGAAGTTATGGTTTATGTGGGCCCCACGGATGGACCCCTGTTTCTTGGTTCAGCTCCCATAGAGGAAATAGCAGCTCGCATCATGAATGCTCGAGGTCCCAGTGGAGAAAATATAGATTATTTGCTCCAGCTTCATGAGTTCATGAAATCAGAATGTCCCGAAGCACCAGATGAACACCTTGCTCTCATTGTGGAAGCAGTACAGATGAGAATGCAGGCTTATAAGTGATCATTGTCATATTGTTTCCTTTGAGATCTATCCTTCATGAAGTTCCTGTGAAAGTTCACCATATTGCTCAGAAGTACTTATTTTTTTAATGAAAATTTTGTTGCTCTCAAAGGAATAAAATTAATATTGAACTGAAATGGCATTTTTCTGATCCTTTGCTCAGGAGAAAGTGTGGGGAGTGGCCTATCTTGTTTCACAAGAAGTGCTGGATGATGTCATTCAACACCTAGATCACAGGGAGAAGGGTGGCTATGAAAAGGTGAAAGTCACATTCTACCCTGAGGCAGATGGGATGCCTTTCACAGTGGACATGTATCACGGATTACCCACCAATCCATTCTATATTGGTCCTGAGAGTATTGACTCAACAGCTACAAGGATTGCAAAGTCAGTTGGACCAAGTGGCAAGAACACTGACTATTTATGTAATTTGGTGCATGCCTTGAATGAACTGACATCTGAAGGATGTGAATCTTACCTGAGGTCTCTGTACCAAGCAGTAAAGAATCATGAGTCAATGTGCAGGGAATGAAAAGTCAAGGCATAGTTCAATCTGGGAATGCTGTTGCTCCCCTTCCCCATCTATCTGGGGCTGTTGAAATAAAATCAAATCAGCATGAAAGGCAATCTCATATTCATGTCATGTTTCAAAAAACTTTCAATGCATGGGAATGTATCACAGATCATGTCTTATTTTTTTAATTGGCTAACAGCAGAAAACAAGCCAAACCAGAGAATTGTTGAGTTCCAGCTATGATGTCCCATAAAAAAATTTGGAGAATACTTTTGACTCATAAAAGAATAATAAAGAAATAATTACAAAATGGAATTCTTGAGTTTTTCTCATTCCTGGCTTAACTCAAGATTCATGCTAGCACTTTGGATTGACTTTGTGGATTGATTCGTGTGAGGATTTTATGAACTGTGATTTCATTCAGTGTGATTTCATCTCCTGAGACAATTCTGTCTGATGTCCTCATTTTAATATGTTCTCAATAAAGTGAATTTTTAAAATACTTATTTACTTCAGGGTGTTTCTTCTTGGCTCCACTACATTTCATTGTGGATCATTTCCATGCCAGACAAATGACCAGCTACAATTCACTGCAGAAAATTCATTCACATGTCAATTAACGGTAGGTCATTTCACTATTATGCATATTTTGCTGCATCCACATTCCTTGCAGAAATCATCCTGGAAATGATTCAAAATGAAAATAAAAATTTTCCCCACTGGTCCCTGATATATGAGGTGTGGTTATTATGTTTCTAGATTGGTTTTATTGCTCAACTTTGAGAGAGAGGAAAGGGAGTGGGGCGATGACAGTAACATGGAGGGGCGCCTTACCTAATGACCGGGCAAGTTTCAGTGTGGTCTGATCAGTGTGCTGCGGCCCATTAAGGTAGACCGTATTTGTGTGCGATGGTGAATTTGAAATGGAGTGTAATGTCAAGCAGAGAACTAATGTCAAATTATGTGTTAAACTGGGGAAATCTGTGACTGAAATGCTCAAAATGTTAAGAAAAGTTTATGATGATCATACCATGTCAAGAGCACAAGTCTTCTTGTGGCATAAAAGTTTTAAAGAGGGAAGGGAATTGACAATTAGAATGATAGCTGAATAATTGCATTTAGATGAAGAAGCTGTAATTTTGAGCTGTAAGCTGTAAGTAATTTTGAAGGATGATTTGGGCATGGGAAAGGTGACAGCAAAAATGGTGCTTCAGTTGCTGACAGCAACAAAGGCAATTGGAGGTTTGTTTGGATCCCTCAGAAAGAGCTGGAGAATGAAATTTTTGGGAAAGAATCATCACTGGAGATGAGACATGGTGTTATCAATATGATACATCATCAATCCCTTGAATGGAGAACTGCAAATTCACAGAGACAGAAAAAAGCCTGAATGTCAAAGTAAAAAATCAAGACGATGCTGATTTGTTTTGTTGATGTCAACCGAATCATTCACCCAGAATTTGTGCCAGAAGAGCAAACAGCCAACCAGATGTTGTATGTGTACGTTTTGAAGAGGTTGCATGAGGCTGTGAGGAGGAAAAGGAGTGATCTGTGGAAGGAGAACTTGTGGATCCTGCATCATGATAACATGCCAGCTCACACAGCGCTGTCTGTCCAGGCTGCCAAATGTATCACTGAAATGGATCACCTGCTGTATTCACCCAATTTAGCCCCCCACTTTTGGCTGTTTCTCAAGCTCACAATTTCAAAAAACTCAAAGAAAAACTTGAAAATGAAGTCTGGAAACTTAATAGCCACACCTCGTATGTCACACAGCAGTGTTTGATTGCCAATGTTGAAAACACAATGATTTCTCTCCGAGTGTACATTTGATGGAGAGAAGGAAAAATGTAATCTCCTTGGCTTCCTCCTCCTCCAGGCCTTAAGTGATAAAATTTATCTATGGATCTCTTAATGAAAACTCAAAGCATATATCTTTCATCCATGTTCAAGAGCTTGCCCCAGAGAGTGGAAAGAAGTAGGAGACATGAGATGCAAATGGAAAGAGTAGCACTTACAAGAGAGTACTCCATGATGAAAAAGAAAGGATGATGCAGGGAAAAGAATGACAGTAAAAATGTATATCCAGTAATAAAAAAAAGACTCACAGCAAAGTTAAAACACAGTGAAAACGATCTCAGCTAAATTGCACAAACAGAAGTGCTGTGCCATATTTCTCATATTGCTCATTTCCATCATTAGGTATCAAAATGTTCATCTGTCAGATGACACAAATTTGCAGCATGGTTCTTGGGAATTGCTATAAGTGTTCAAAATATGCTTGATGCAGTTCAGCATCAAATACATCCTGTATTCCTTAAGATGACAAAAGTTACAAATGGGCAGAAAGTGCATTTAGCATATTTTCCTTACAACTGTTTAGGAGGTCTCCACATGGTTATGCCAGATGCATGCCTGTGTTATGGGTAATCTACATGTTCACCTGTATTGGGTACACTAATTAAACATCTTTTAAACATCAAAATGTCATTAAACACATGTAGCAATTGCCAGGTACTGTGTCCAGTACTGTGATGATACCATCAACTTGTTCCATGCATGACATTGAGCTAGATATGCATTAATAAGACTAAACAATATAAAGATCAAACACCTTTTATAAAAAGAGTGTTGCACTGGTAATAAAATACTGGTAAGAATAATCCACAGAAATATGATAGCATGTCCCCTATGATTTTAACCCCTTCTGGAAAAATTTACTTTCATGTAGGGGGAAAATACTTCATTCAGTTTTTGTTGTTTCAAAAATGCAAAGGAAAAATATACTTGCTTTTTAAATTATATGAAATTATAATAAATTAACTTTTTAATACATCAAAATTGTATTAAAATCAAGCAACTCATTAGTTCTGCAAGCAATACAACATCAACCTTCCATTGAGTGCTTCTCAACATTTTCAACCAATTTCCCAAAATCTAACTTTCAAAAACCTATTTTTAAAATTAGCTGGTATCTGGAAATCTCTCTTCAACTTGTTTTTAAAAAAAAGTCAACATTCCCACGGTTTGTTCTGCTCTAGATACCTGTAGACATACAATTAACAAATTTTTAACAAGCCATCAGATAGATTGCATTATTGTGGTAAAGATGATATAGCTGTTATTTTGACCAATTTAAAATGTGAGGCTAGAAAATTTTTGAAAGTTGGTGGTGCCAAATGGAATTGCTGGTCTAGAAAGGATTAAGGATATAAATATTGAATTTGCTGGCAGTTTGACAGGGATTCAATCTTTGGAAAAGGCACATCACTAAGTTCTAATAGTATTTAAGCTTTAATCATAAGTACTTCACCATAAATGTCTTTGGGGCAGTTATTTGTGCAGCTCCATGTGGTGTCTGTAATGCAGGAGGCAGAGGAGGTGGGGGAGGTGCACCAGATGCATACTGTCTTGAATTTTCCTTTGAGAAGTTGGAGGTATTATTTTCAATTGTAATTTTTTCACTTATTCTCCCACTCTGTTCGTAGTCAGATGGCTTCTGTGAAAAAAAAATACAAAGTTGGTGAATAAATATCATAAATGCAAGCAGATACCTGTTCCTAGTTACTGTTCCATTAATGAAATTGTGCTATCTGAGAATTTGAGAGTACCTCTGCACTTTTCCTATCAACTACTCCCTCAATATCATCCTGTTCTTGATTTTGATCATTGCATTCCCAGGATGACCTTCCCCCAAAGAATTACCAGCCCCTTTTTGCCTCTATTTTCTATCAATTGATTCACTCTGCCAGAACCTTGAAATTGAACAGAAAACTTTTTGGATGAACCTGGCGAATGTGGGATCATTAATCTAAAGAGGAAATCAGAGAAATATGTTGGCATCTCAAAGTCAGTCAGTCAAAATAAAAAACAATAACATTTTTGTTTTTTCATAAATGTTTCCAATATTGAAGTCATTATCAAACACTTGGTTATGCATAAAAAATGCATCAAGATTTTTGCATTTATTTCTCAACTTCCAGATGAGGCAGAGGTGTACAAACAATACCAGATACGCACTTAGCTTTCCTCTTATCTCCATGAAAACTAAGAATTTATATTAATTTATAGTACACCTAGAGTGGTTGTTTGACAGACAACTAGAAAAATTTCATATCACACCTCATCTTATATGGGAAGAAGCATAATGGGTCCTCCTTTGGCTTTTCCATTTGGCATGTGATCTCATTTTCCATTAAGTGATGGACTAGCAGATCTCCACCAGTGATCTCAATCCAGGTCGGTTGAATGATGGCTCTGTTTTGCAATCAAGTGATCCATCTTGATCACTCAACTCACCTGTGAGACTCTTAGCACCAAGTAAGATGTTAGCTTGACATCGTACAATGCTTGTGCAGCTCTTTGCAAACTGTGCAAGGTGTGGCAAATTTTTTGGTGAGCTAGTTGGACAACCACTCTGGATGTACCCTGGTAGCTAGAAATGTATAGTTTTCATGGGGCTGAGAGGAAAGATACATGAAATTATTTGTGAGCCTTTGACTCACCTGGTAGTTGAGAAATCACACAAAGCACAAATCTCTGCATGTTTTTTATGTGCCACCCAATTTTTTTTATTTTAAATATTTTAAAATTCAGAATCATATTCTAGGAACACCATAATGAAAAGTGTCAAGTGCCTGCATCCCAAACTTCAAATGAGCCAGGGAATATACTGACCCTTAATGTGAAGCTGTACGTGGTTTGTCGTAGTCCTCGAGAAAAGGTCCTCGTGTTTGGAAGCAAACTGTTTTCAGATGCAGAAAATTAAATCATGTCCATTTAGCTTTGAATAACTGAACTGACTATGATGACACTTGTATCATGATTGGTTAGTAGGTGAGGAGTGGGCAGTACATTTTCCAAGCCTTCTTGGCAATCTTGGGACATGTATGAAAAATTAAAAGTATGAATCATTTTTTTCTCCTTGGGAGGTAGCTTCTTGTTACAACCAATGCATTGGAACTGTAGTATTTTAATATTAGTGAAGAAATAACTAGTTGTGTGTTGGATATGCATTTTTGATGGAATGAGAGCTATGGATTATTTATCTAACACTCATAAAATCTTGTGATTAACCTTTAAAGGCAGATTTAAATGCCTTAAGTGAACCCTACCTAACAGTTTTGAATGCCTTTAATTATGTTGCCATGACAACAGCTACATCAGTACTGTCCAAATGAAAGGAAAGCTATTGGTATATGGGTGTCAAAAATAATTTTAAAAAAGTATATACTCCATTATTCTCAGGATTGAGGAGAGTCGCCAGTTGCAAGAATAATTTTCTTGGGGTTATGTGAATACCAGTTGCAAGTTGAAGGTTAATGGAGAAGAAAGTGAATTGCATATGAACTCACAATCAGAGAGTTGATTTTCTCTGCCAGGTTCCAGTCACTGAATGCAGTATGTGACACTGGGTCACATGGCATATAACCTAACTTGGCATAGAATGCTTCTTTTTCTTGAGATGAAAGATATAGTCTATTGAAGCCCAATCTAGAAATCATACCCATCAAAGTTATTGAACGTAATCCATCCATCCATCCAAAGCCCTTATCAAGATGAAGCAAGAATGCATATGTAAGTAACCACACCTTTTCATATATTCCTCCGACTCGTTCATGAGTAACTTTCCAAGTCCTCTCCCTCTAAGGCATCTTGAAATAATAACTGAAAAGAGAGGTGAAACTAAACTGAATGCATAAGTGGCCTTCAAATTAGCCTTTAACACATTTAACAATGGAATAGAATATGAGAACCTGATTCTATCCAGCATGAAGACTCATCACTGGGAATTCTGCAGATCCTGGTATGCCCAATGACTCTCTCATATCCATCAACAGAATCCACCAGGACAAATGATCGTGGGAAGGCTGGATGGGATTGCTCAAGGCTATGCTGTCTGTCAAAAAAGGAGACCAATGCAACAATAATGTAACAAGTCATGATTCAAGGGAGCTAATGAAGCAATATTTCTGACTGAATAAACATATGGATGTTTTCTTTACATAACAAGTCCAATAAGAAATGTAGAATCAGCTGATTAGAGTTGACAGCCATGGATGTCTAATTGAATTGTGCATTGATAGAGTTGTACATCTGTCAAGATGTCCTGTGCAGTGTAAAATCATAGTATGGCTGGGCATCAAAAGTTGAGAACTTTAAATAATTCCTCACTTGTTTATAGAGGGCAAGGAATGGAGATGTCTGTCTCCTCAAGCTATTCTAACGTTAGGCTCATTGAGATTGATGTTCCTAGACTAAAGGCAATGACAAGTTTCTGCGCTCGCCATCCTTTACGACAGATGAGTGATGGGTGAACAGATGGTTGCGTTGATGAATGCGATCAAATGCATGGCAGTAAAGCAGGCTAATGCACTTCTGGGTAGTAGGCTAGGCCTAGGCTTGAGCGCTGAATCGAGCATCAGCGCAAGAGGTGTAAAAACCACCTGAAAACAAACCTTGCAGTTGAACTTCTCGGCCATTCATCATTTAGGAGGTCGACGCATTCAGGAATAAAATGCTTGTTCTCGTCCAAGGGTAGGAATTTCATTGTGTGAAAAACAGCATGGTAGGTACAACATACAGAGGATGTAATCATCTGCTCTTCACGTGTTCTGCAGCCTCTCATAGATGCAAGATTTTTTCGTCAGCAATTCACAATCAAATGAAACATTGAAACTGAAAGGTAAAATTTGAGTGCAATACAAACATTCCAAAAAAGAACATCATGCGTAATATCGCTAATCATAAACGATGAACAACACTTCACAAACCAACACAGCACCCCTAACTACAGTGTAGAAAGTCATTGATGCAACACTGACCCGCGTGACAATCCGTCCCATGCGGTCATTCATGCAAGTTCACTTCCGGGATAAGAATTCCACAAGTTCTATATCCTATCCAGCCACGACTCATGTTCAGCGATGAGCCATGAAAGCGTCTGACCTCACAAGTCATCAGTAGGTAGGCGTGACTTTTACAGATCCCACCAAACAAGAATAAACTGACGGATCATAGTTGTCTTGTCTCCTTGATGCGGCAATACACCGAACCCGATGCGAAGACAAGAATACTCGTGTTCACACCCGTATCATAATTTCATTTAAAGGCTTGCGTATGAGATCCGGAACAGTGGCATCTGGGGCCGGGTATCCCAGGGGAAGCAGCATGAGGAGTTTTTCATTTGCGGGTCTTCCAAGGATTGCTCTCAGTCGCGGACCACAGTTCAAGGGGGTGCTGGTAACAGTCACTAATCCAGCATTCTATGGAGGAGGAAACGTTGACAGGGGACTAATTTTGAGGAACGCTTTACTTGCTCACTAAGCAATTCACTTTTCAAGCTTACCTGAATTGCAGCCAAGAGTATTCCAGCTGAAATGGCGACGCCGAGTTCGTTGTAGTAGTTAGTTTGCCTGGTCCCGTCAGCTTTGAACCCGTAAATTTCCTTGAAAACCAAGATCAAATGTGGGGCTATCGTCAAGTAGGGCTTTTCCCAACTAAGCCGGAACTTCGCCAGGTCTGCTACCCATTCCTTTCCTGGTTTATTGCATACACAGGATGCCATTAGTTGCCAATTCATTTTGCCGTGCTGAATGGAGAGAGAGAATCTCACCCATTCGCTTCTTGTAATTTATTTCTTCTTCTTCTTCGATGACTTGGCGTATTTGCGCTTTCACTCCCGGGTCTGACACCACGACATATATCCACGGTTGCGTGTGAGCGCCGCTCGGAGACGTGCCTATGTACATAAAGACAAAAGGAATTGGCCAATTCCATTCTCTCTCCTAGTCTTAATATTAAATGAGCTATAATGTGAGAAGGCCCTATGACAACCCTTAGGCTTTTTTCAGTGCCAGTATTATAAAATCGCAACTCATGTACTACTGTACTTTCATGCGTCTGGTACATCCGAACCCAGATTATAGAACGCTGCATGTCGTAATATGTTTACTTGAACATTTCCGGATGTGCTAGATACCATTGCAGTTGGTCTAATTTCAAGCATGTTTAATATTTCTATTTTAAGGAAACGGCACTATAATCGATGTACTTGTGGCTAGAAGGCAACCTGTTTAATTAATAAAGCCAGGTATTAAATAATACAACTAAATTATCCATTGTCATGAGATTGCGAAGCCACCCGAAAGTGATTGACAGCTTCTTCCCGTATTGCATGAACACTTAGCAGGCATGGGACCTTTCAACCCCGAGGCAGAATTTCGCCACTGAGTGCTCCGCTTGAGCTGGTAGACTGCTAATGAATCTCGGGAGCGTTCGCATTCAAGGAACAGAAAACTACCGTCTAAAATCATCGCTTTCTTCAATTACGCTGCTTTCTTCCGCTGCTTTCTTCAATTACGATATTAATGTCACGCGATTCCACGAGCCGAGATGACCATTTTCATGGTAGCCCAAAAATATATCCGCGCACGTGGGTCCTATCCTTCTAGGTTCTTCCTCAGATTTCCAGGATTTTTTTTTGGATGGACTGGGTACGAGACATAATCGCTGTAGCAAAACCATGGAAGTAGAGGTTATTCAAGGGGCATCCTGATCATCAGATCAGGATGCATCAGAGATTTAATAGGCAATAATCAAAGCAAAGCTTCCATATGTTGCTTTCTTAACTGTAAAGAAGTGGCTTTTGAATTAGTCTTAATGCTGGATGCCGGACAGACCCAAACGATCAGGGAATCCTACAACCAGCATAACCTACCCTAGTTGCACATAACATTGAATCAATGTTGATTCAACATTGAATCAATGTTGATTCAACATTGAATCAATGTTGATTCAACATTGAATCAATGTTGATTCAACATTGAATCAATGTTGATTCAACATTGAATCAATGTTGATTCAACAATGATTCTATATTTAATCAACATTAATTCAATGTTATTTCAACATTGAATCCATGTTTCCATGTTACGTGCTACTAGGGTACACATGCAGAATAAAAACAGATTCGCGTACCTGCCGTTAGAATGAGATTCTCCACAATGTTCATGGGTACGTGTTTATTGGAGAAGAATCGAACAGTTCTTCGTCGATTCATGAGGTTGTAAAACTCTAAACTCCTCTGTCTCGATTCTTCCAAGGTAAGAGTCTCGTGTATATAAGGAATGTGTTCCAGTTCCTCGTCGTGGTGGGGGAGGAAAGCACTCTCTTCGTGGCTGGCATCTGGGTAAGAAAAGAGGTTACGTATTAGCTGCATATCGTCAGTTGAGGTCAACTATTTTATCCAGGTTCCCGTTTTTTTTAAGCAATGACACTTTCATGCCATTTAATATAAACGGCATAATTTTTTATTGAGTCTGAATGTAATACGTGACTTTGCAAACTTACTACATATATCTTTGCTGATATTTTTATTTTAATGTACATGTAAATCATGGCATTCCTATACCTCCTCCTCTATGAAGGGCGCCAGGGACATGATTCTTGTCGCGGAAGTAACATGATGCAAGTACTAGCCCGTTACGTGGCCATGAAAACCTGCCGAAGGTCTGAACATCAATCGCTTCCCGCTCATTTCACCATAAGCCGGGACTGACGCCAGTTGTAGTTACCAAGTGGGAAAGCTATTAAATACTCTGGAATCAAATGTGGACCCGGGAGGCCGTGGATATCAATGAAGTAGGTCTCTACAATGACGTAAGCACTGCATAAGAGTTTGTGGACGCCTAAAATGTGAAAGGAGGTTCGCACCGTGCAGGTCCTACTGACGTTACTACTTCCCTGGCAATAACTGTAATCTGCGATCTCGCGAAACAAAGGATAAACATCGCAGTTCATCATAAAGAAATTTTCAGTTCACTATAGTGGACACCATGCGAGAAATGATTGGCCTTACACCTGTGTATTGCACAGTCTTAGTGGCGTCGCGGTTTCATTCCGTCCCATTATGCGTTGAGCAATCTTTATCGATGCGTGGCCGAAGGCCGAACCACTAAAAAAAAAAAAAAAAAAAAAAAAAAAAAAAAGAAAAAAATAAAAATATCAGCAAAGATATATGTAGTAAGTTTGCAAAGTCACGTATTACATTCAGACTCAATAAAAAATTATGCCGTTTATATTAAATGGCATGAAAGTGTCATTGCTTAAAAAAAAAGGGCGGAAGGGGGAAGAGACAAAAATAGTTTTTTTTTTAAAGAGAAAACACCCAAATCTACTTGTCAAGGTGAAGTAAAATTACTTGTGCGAATTATTTTATATTCCGTCTTGGCATACTGTCGAACTCAGAAATAGAAGTAGTGACGGAAACCGCTTACCTTGCAAAGGAAAAGGCGGATGCTTGACACGATGATGAGGCCGGGAATGGGGCCGCTTCTTACCCGTCTGATACGCCCACGACACCAAGAAGACGAATATTCCCAAAATGGAAAGCGGACTAGAGAGGAGCGGAAAGTACTGATACATTTTCACTTGAGGTTGGAGAGCGAATTTCAAACACGCGCTGCTTTCCGAGGGAACCTGCAAGTAGTACAAGGACATTTTTTCGATCAGGAACTTTCACTCTAGATTCCCTTTCCAAAAACACATACGCACACGCACAAAACTGAACGAGTCACTGTCCTTTTTTTCTATGGGAATACTCTTGACTATTTTCCCTTTCGTTGCACGTGCTTCCGTGCAGTGCTGCTGACATCAGACATGCTGACCAATGACATCTCTGCGTCGCTCCTTTAATATACCGAGTCCACTCAGAACACAGTACCACATCGCCTCGGCAGGACTCTCGCGTGGGGGATCGACAGCAGGCATCTCCGTGCTGTCCGCTGCATCTCGAGTTACTCAATTAATTTCTCCTCGAGATGTTATATTCAATGAGAAATGAGAAATTCTGGTTTTTTGAGGGAACCTTGGCTCAAACCCTCTCCGAATTGAGAATTCCGAAGATCACCTATACCCGTTAAGGCGTTACGCAAGTTGCGTAAGGTTCCATCTAGACCAAATTAGGAGTTGCTCCATAAAAGCAGGGAAATAAGTCGAAATAAGTACGCTCAGTTCTCAGCTTTTTATTATCAGGAATGATATTGGCACGAATCCTTTCACATGGCCCCCCTCCTCACCCCAAATTCTAGACCATTAGTGCTGGTTGATGCTCAAACGTGTCGTGAAAAAGTAGCTTTTCATTTTTCATATTTTTTCCCCCGCTTTATCTGAAAAAGCCTCAGCTCTGCCCGCTATTGCCCAAAATTTTCGCTTCATATGTTAAGCTCTGGCACTTAGGATTCACTGTCTCAAGCAACGAATCATGCGATGATCCACGATAGTGAATAGTAATCTCTAAATTAGATGAACTCACACGTTGAGTCAGAAAGAAATGCCCAAATATAGAACTCGTTAATATGCTATGATAAAAAGTACAAGTGCTGTTATGTTAAAAACATGTTATCTGATAATAACAAAAAAGTTGGCCTGACCCCGTCGTACCCGTCGTATCACCCAGTGGGTACAACGTGGAGTGACCGGGGGTATTAGGCAAGGAGTTTCCGATGAGGTAAGATACCGTTCTCTTGACCTGGATTCAATATGGAATCAATTAAGCAATTAATGGGGACGGGATTGGGACATGTTAGTCACCACTGGGATTTCCTGGAGAGGAGAACTGGAGAAACTAGAGAAGTAAAGGTTCATTTTCCACACGCTTGGGAGAATAAGTGATCTGCTTGGTTTGAATGTTTGAAGGAGCGTGACTTGGACCTCCTCCAAATTGTATATCTTCCGGGTATATTTACTTTATACTCGATTCGGAAAATGAAACGTCCTGTTTCGGAAAGGATCCCTAATCCAGTTCAGGGGAAGGGCCGTGGAAAAAAAAAAAAAAAAAAAACACAGACAGGAACGAAGTGCGTCGGAAGAGACTCACCTTGAAGACCGCAGAGTATAGTTGAGCGCGCGTAAGAGCCTCCACAGCACTGAGACGATATTTTCCGAACCCGTCTCTTTATATGCCCTCGCTCCGGCGGGAGGGGGCGATCACCTGGCCCGTGCCTGGGCAAGGTCACGTTGACCTATCATTTGTGATCTGTCGGGGGAGGGGGAAGAGTTGTTTCCACGGAAAGGCTGGACGTGCTTGAGAGCATTTAGTCATGCGATAGTCCTTCTTTGCTGGCTAGAAAGAGGCAGACGTGGTGCAAATACTGGAGATCCATTGTCATGAATTCCTGTTTCCGAAATGGTGTTCATTTATTTTAGAGGGCAAGCGGCTGGTGCCATTGCCACTTGGTTACATATAAAATGTACTGTGTACCCTAGTAAATGGAATTATAGCACCGGCAACTCCGTCAGTACAATGAGAGAAGTTAAAAAATGTGTAACTTTCAGTTTCAGCGAAGTTCCAAAATAAAATTGTCCATAAGTCAATAATGGCCTGGAGAGTTTGTATTTGTAATTCGAGTGCTTCACTGTTTCTGGCGGCCATGCCTTCACAAGTAAGAGCAGAAATTTCCTGATTTTTAAGGAACCGAGGGACGTCGTAGATTACTGTCAGAATCTGACAAATTTAACGCCTCAAAGAGTTATTTTTTCAAAACCAGGACTAGGTTCTGAAGTAAACTTGGGGTGGGGGGGATTTTTGAACAGGGCATTATCCGATAATGCAGCTTTATTTACCGTATTTATAATGTATTTTCTCTTAAATAAAGCAGTATTATCGGATAGTACTCTGTTCAAAAATCCACCCTTATTCTTCTTTCGCTGAACTAAATTGCCTCCACCCCGCTGCATGATTCACATATTTGGCTACGATATATCGTGAAAGGGTCAGTGTGAGGTGAAATGCAACGCATGGAGAATTCAGGATGATTAAATTCCAAGGACTTGGGGAGTTTCCTGATTTTCAGAGATGTGATAGTCAGTGTCATAAGAATGTCATAAATTCTCCAACCCTGATCAACGATCGCAGTTCACTAGTCAAGTTTTAGCTACAAAAAGGGACGGTAATCAGTATTACTTATGTGGCAAAGTCACGTGGCTATTACCCATGTGGCTAAGTCAGGGGAAAGGAATTTCTCGCAAACAATTAAAAAGAAAAGGGCAAGAAACTCCCTGGTGTGTACCGGGAACTTGGCCTCTTCGGATTCCATGGAAATTTCGTTATTTTCCCTGTGATACAGGGTGAGCCAGAAGTAATGATTCACACTTTTCTCTAGGATTCACCTCTTGGCATTCGGCAAATACAGAGATATATTGCCAAGGATGTGAAAGAGACAGTCTATGTCGCACGCGATAGACAGAGTTTCAATGGAAGAGGAGTTCCCAACTGTTTAATACTTGATAGACCATATCAATGAAAAATCCTATTTATCTTTTATTACGCCATCGAAGGAATAAAAAGCCATTGATACCTAATGGTCTCGTGGTCCCACTGGGAACGCATAAGAGATTTCCTTTTATATTGATATTGGTTCCTTTATTAATTTCCTGAATATTCCCTGCCTTATTTTCTTGTTTGTTTCTGCGATCTGTCGAACTCTGTCGAAGCGAAAACTACAAAAAATCTTATAAACTACGAACCACGTCTATGGAGCCTAAGTCATTGGTAAATTGCTTGGTAGAGCTTACGCTTTGAGAATCCTCGACAACTCAGAAGTTTTCCTTCATTTCTTAAAACTTCATTTTTTTTTTAAATGAAGTTTTTGTTTTCGGACTTAAAATTGGAAAATGAGAGTTTTGATAGAAAACGTCCTGTGGTAAAGCCCAAAAAAGTTAACTCTATCATGCATGAGGGTCCTCTCTTAAGACAGATTTATTGTATTCTTTTCATTATATTTTTGGGACCGATTACACCTTATAACGCATAACGGCATAACGGACACCATTTGGGACTAAAATTAGTCAAAGAGCATTTTTGGAGCTGCCTCCAGAGCAACATTAAACCACATTTAGTGCAGGAACAACATTAAGCATGATACTTTTTTCATAAATTTCCAAAACTGCACGAGAAAGCAAAAGTGGGAATGTTAATCTGCACACAGGAGATTAGAGTGACCGACTGAACGGTCGCCTGCCTTGCAATTGCCTCCCCGACTCTTACCTCACATAGGACGACACGCAACTCCGCGGACGACCGAGTGTGAGGTCTCGTTCACCGTGGTCTCGTTCGGGCATACAAACATAGCGGCCTGCAGGTATCGCGGTGGCCAGTCACGGGGTGCAAATTCACGGGAACGGAGAGGAGCGCTCAGTCGCTCCGTCCCAGCTCGACGATTTCGTGCGTTGCCTGCCTTTGTTAGTGTGAGACATCGTTGGATTTAGATTAAATGCAATGGAGCTGGCGCTGCTTCTCATCAAAGTTATGGATTCTCATTTGAAAACGATCGGTTGTCTGCTTTTACAAAGGGAAAATACATCCCTTATGTTCCGTGGTGCTTTTGAGCATAAGCCCATTAATATTCAGGCTGAATTGTAGGCTGTCAGTGTTGTGACTCACAACACTGACAACTTCGCCACGTGCACACGTAGCATCAGCCAGAGTGTACAACCAGCCTCTCATTCTTCACGCTCAAAGAGGAAGTTCTGAAATGATTCCTGGGCTAATAATTTCGGGGTTCTATCCAGGCCTCTATAACTAGGCAGCAGGACCAGTTATAATTCTGGAATTTCCAATGCCACCCGGTTTGAAAGTGCAGCTGTCCATTTAAAAACAGCTCTGATCTGTAGTATGCCAGTTTCTCTCTCTTGACAAAACCTCACCCGATGGCAACTGAATTATTTCATAACCGCCAAAAAAAGTGCAATCGTTGAAAGTTGACAGAGGCTTTGGATCTGGCAGTTGAGCACCTTTCCACGTCACCTCGTGAACCAATCACGAGCGACAGTGATGACAGTCTCTTCGTAGAGAGCGAGTATGAATCATCCACTAGTTCCTCGGAAAGGAGCCGTAGGACGTAGAATGGATGGGGAGGATTTCCTGTTTTTCACGTGCGGAGGGCCACGAGGCCTCGAAAATCCAGACCTTCCTCTCAATAATAAAAAAAACTGTTTTCCCCCTCCCCAATCTCTTCAACATTTCCTGGAATTCCCTCTGCTGATGGATAACACCCGTAGATGCGGAGGAAGCGAACTTGATTGAACTGTGAGGCCATGAGGTTTTCCTGAATGAAACGTTATAAGCGCACCTGCCTCCTTTACCCCTCTTCACTTTTTTTCTCGCTGATTCCCTGGAATAGAGGAAATGGAACTATTGTCTCGAAATAAAAAATACTGATGCCGGGGGGGGGAAATCGCATTTCGAAAAATTTCGAGGAATATTTGGAAATCAGTTCGTGTTTTAGTTTTATTGCAGTTCCGGTAGGGATTTCATTGCGAGGGTAATCGATATTAGCGCAATGTAACTTCAGTAGGAACAGAGCCTAAACCTAAACTAGAACCGAACTGCAACTGAAATGCCGTTTTGAAATCAGCCTTTTTCCCTCCTCCAACAAACATTCGAATCTTCAGGCATCTGCCAACTTCCTGGTCGGGGAGGACCATGGCGAAACCATCGACGGTGGCGTGAGCGTATTCATGCATAGTTCAAGTAAGCGTATCCTGTATTGGTAGCTCTGAAAAATTATTGGGACATGAAACTAAATTTTCATTTATTATTTCTGGCCAAGGCTGAAGTGAACAAATTACAGATCGGTTGCTTCGCGCGAATTGATCCATGGAGGGTGTCTAGGAAGTTTTTGACATATTTGGACTAGAATCCTGTATTTCTTACGTCCGTGAAGTGAAAAGCGACAGAAAACTGATTATAAAATAAACGAGTTACTTATACACGAATGCCGCGCCCCTCAGTCAGGTTTTTCCAAGGTTGCGTAGTAAACGAGAGAAACTTAAAATTCTTTCTAAGTCGATGATACCGTATTAATCAGGCATCACAATGGGACCAGACCTAGAGGCCAGGACGAAAGTTTGAAGAAACTCAGGATAGTCGGTTTCATTTTTTTCTATTCTTTTTTTTTTGAGACAGGTCATGCCAATCCGAACTATAAATATAAGACCCGAAAATGACGCACTGAAGCCAGCCCAAAATCGAAAACGGGGGCAAAACACGGGAATGCATGTGGGTCGAGCCAGAACCAGTTTCCCAACTCGTTTCGCTGGTCCGGATTTTCAACGGGTCAGGGGGGGTGGCTGCGTCATTCAAACACCGACGATTTCCGAGAATTTCCGAAAATTTCCCACCTGGCCGGGCGAGCTGAGACCTGCCCAAACGAGGCTCATCTCATTTGTTATCTTTAACCCCGCCCATCTGTTTGCGAGCCAGCCACTTAAGGAAAAAAATGTGGCCAAGGATCATGTGAACTGCGTCAGAGAAAGTGAAACGGAGTGATTTGTCCTTGAACTGGGATTGTCACCGAAGACTGATATGATCAATTTGCGGGGCACTTGGAGGGGATGGGGGGGGGAATTGTTTGTTCGAAAACAACTATGCGTCATAGCGTCTCTGTATTTTCTTTTTTTTTTTTTGCTGCCATGTTCCTCGGGAATCTTCAGGTTTTCCTTTAAAGGGGGATTCCTAATTTAATGATGGTTATTCTGTTAGCAGTAAATCAACAGTGGAAACCGCAAACGTTTGGAAGCCACGATATTGTCCTGTGCTATAATTTCATTTACTACCGAGTGGACGTGAAGTGCCTTTCCCCCTGATCAAATTACGCGTCCGTCGGATCCGTCATTGTCTCAGAAAAGGATGATGCGTCGCCGAGTCTTGCACGACATCCCAAGCGACGTGGAGGGGAGGAGAGGCGGGGGGGGGGGGGGGGATCGTCGTAGATGCTGCCAGATAAGGGTAGGTAGGAACTTTGGAACCGCCCCCCCTATGAAAAATTTCTATATCCGCCACTGCCGTCGGATCCGTCATTGTCTCAGAAAAGGATGATGCGTCGCCGAGTCTTGCACGACATCCCAAGCGACGTGGAGGGGAGGAGAGGCGGGGGGGGGGGAGGTGATCGTCGTAGATGCTGCCAGATATGCGGCTCGTAAATCCTCAGTCGTCTCACGAACGGAGGCACATAATTACATCCGGGTAGTGACTTTTCGTCCGCTATAGAGACATAGGCCGTGTGACTAATTGTGGCTAACGATGAACGTCCCTAGACATAAGCTTTGAGGATGGGGAATCGCTTCTGCCCAAGTCAATCGCTGTCAGGCCAGAGGGCGTAGAGAAGGAAAATTCCAAGGCGCAGGACGACCTCGGACGCCTCCGCACACTTTCAATCTTGATGAGAGGATTACGAGGCGCCTGGTGGGGTGAAGGCTCCACCGCGTCTGGGGACACAGGATGATCCTGCCCTATTTTTCCCCAAACCTGATTTTTTTTTTAAGGGTGTTTACGTGACCCATCATAGGTGAGCATGTGAGCATATACGTAGATGTCTCTCCTTTTTTTTTCCACAAGGAAAAAGAATGGGGGTATGCAATATCAACTGCTCTGGGGGTAAAAACAATCGAATTACCTTTGAGAAATAGGAGACGCGAAGTCTTTATCGAGAAAAAAAAAGTATTACAGAAAACTAGCATCTTTTTTCATCACTTGAACCGGAAAGGACTCAACATTTCTGCAATTAATATTAATATTAGAATTTAGTTACAGGAAAGGGAAACCTGGAGAGTTGATGCTAAGGCAAGCAGAAAAAAAACCACCTTGATTCAGATTCAAATTGATTGTATTGAATTATTAATGAAGTATTTCTTTAGTGTAAGGTGGTTCACTTCTCTTTATTGTAATGGGCTTCCCCAATATATTTTCTTAATGGGACTCATTCCCCCCCCCAGTTCATTGAGAAAAAGAGGGGAAAAAGTCAGCGAAAATTCTCGGATGAGAACAGTGGGAACGGTGCCAGAATGTGATGAAAAATAAAGCCATTCATGGAATAGCAGTTCTGATCCGACCGAAACTCGTTGCAGGCAAAGCGTGACGAACCTCTAAATGAGGTTTTCATGACGGAATATCGGCGCTTTCGTTGCTTTCTTCAGCTCCTTTTGCTTTTAGTCTGAAGAGTGCTCGTGGAAAGTATCGAAAAGCATTTGCAGTATATTGCGTAATGGTTGAAAGGTAGTACCGGCAGGAGCAGTACTTACCAGTACTGTATATGACTGAGAAAAGGGGTGCAAATACAAATCCACGAATGTCTCTTGCGGTCATGCATGCAGAAATTGACTACAAGACAGAAATAACTCTGAGCAAGCAGATAATGACTTTTCTCTTCTGGAATTTGAGCTCACATCTGAGTCGTCATTGTCCCCACTTTTAAGCAATTGCGTGCGCATATTTGATCGAGATCGATATTTCATTAGAAATTCACGACGCTCTCCATGTAAAATAGACGAGTTTCGTTGTCCACATCATCATCAAATCATTTCCACGTTGGATAAAATTTACAAGAGGAGCGAGGGACCAAGTGAAGAGGATTCCTAGCTCCTATAGAAAAACGGGGGGGGGGGGGAAATAAATACTAAACGCTCGCGGTGTTGTGAGGCTTTCGATTTTTTTTTTTTGGTGCACCGGCTTTTGAAACTCAGAGCATTCACCTGCGAGGGTAAAAATAAGATGGATCAGAAACCGGATGAGACTTTTTCCCTTCTACGTTGAGGATTCCTTCACGTGGAAATATGAGGGCTTTTCCCACTTTCTTTCAACGTGATTTTTTACCAGACGATTCCCCCTTGTTGAAACTCTTACTTTCTTTTGTTTTTCTTCCTTCGTGTTTGAAATTCCACAACTTCCAAATGGTTTCTCTCTTCATCGTGGCGACCAGTGGCGTAGTCAGGATTTCGCCAAAGTAACTTCTCGTGCAGGGGGGGGGGGGGGGGGGGACCTACAGCCAGACAATTTGGCATTGCCTCTATGCTTGGGAAGAAATTAACCCTTTAGTGCCAGGGGAACGATATATCGTCGTTTATAGCCTACGAATCGGCTGCGTGCCACTAAAAGGGTTAAGAACGGTAGAGAGCCTTTATTTGCTTGTTTTTTTTTTCAAAGAAAAATTCAAGATTCAAGATAGCGATATCAAGAGGCGATTTCGCTCATTTCGATATCACGTGTCGAGGTCGAGCGTTCCTTAATTTTAGGGTAGGCCTAACCTTATTAAAGCAAAATATTTGTATATTTGTATTTTTTTTTTGTTATTTGCCTATCCTAGTTGCTTACTGTCTAGTACCTAACGTCAAAATGTTGATCCCATCTCACCCTACTTTTAACTGGGTGCGTTCGCAATATGATTCGACTGGCTTCGTGCGATCACTTCCGTCAAGAGTACCGAGGGCAATCCTACGTGGGCAGGCTTGAAGCGCGAACGCGTTGGTGGTAGGGTTACCATATATCGGACAGCCAAAAAGAGGACGCCTGGCAGTCGGACGGAAAGTTCAAGGCGAAAAAGGAGGACAGGTCCAGGGAAAATATCCGGACGTTTGGTAACCCATAGGACACCTTCCTTCCGGACGGAAAGTAAAGAAAGAGGACATGTCCGGGAAAAGAACCTAGTTGGTGGTGTGACAGCATCCTGTACCCACCAGACATCCAGGACAGGCAGCACCATCTGTGCAGTGAATCTAAGACTACCGTCTACTTATGATGGCTGCCTCCATTACCGGCACGAGGTGTTCTTGCCATGTGGATGGAAGAGCGCGCGAAATGTGACTAACAGCGTATAACAATATACTGCGTAAAATTGAAGGAGTTGGATTCCTCATTCATGATGCAGCAACCACCCAGATTTCTCAGGCCAGGTAAGCACAATAGGCCTTTAAGCCTAGCCAAGCCAAGCCAAGCCCTGCTGTTTTTTTTTTATTGTTGCATTCCTTGGCTCAAGTGAAGAAACTATGAGACCTAACTGCTAGGCCCTTGTTTAACTTGCAGAGATTTTTTTGAGTTCAACTAATTTATTTGAATGTGATATATACAGGGCAGACTGGAATAATTACCATTTCCATAGGCTTGGATGACAGTATATAGTAATCTTACCAGCAAGTGAAAACTTGTCCACTTCATGTAGAAAGTGTCAAACTCAACGAAAACGCAGCAAAAATAAAAACTTGATTGCCAAATTCAACATTGAAGTCTGTACTTGTTTTGTGTTAATTTTCGATGTAGATTGCTTTGTGATAAGTGCACTCTTCCTTTTAGGCACTCTTCCTAAACTCTGCAAACCTAAAAGAGTGTAGATCAGTAAATTTAATCTATATCTTCAGATTTATCCACTGGAGTCTGTCACAGTATTTCTCAACTTTGATGAACATTATACTAGATGGCATTAACCTAATATGCCCTATCTTATAGAACTATAATCTTCATATGGTGATAATGATGAATTTCCCCAGGTGATACACGTCATGGATGGGAAGCAGAGAAGCCTGATTTGGACCCTGAGAACAATACAACATTTGTCTTCAATCCAAATATCTCAAAGTCCATCGATCAACAGAGGAAAAGACTCCCAATTTTTAATGTCCGGAATCACATAATCTATCTCATGGAGAATTTTCAGACATTGGTTATCTGTGGTGAGACAGGATCAGGAAAGAGTACTCAGATACCACAGGTTGGTTGTTATGGTTAAGCCTAGACTTACTTGAATAGATGTCATAGATACCCTGTATTACTTTACTGGATCGTGATGGGATTGTGAGCTTGTGAAGCCATGTGTCAGTGTCATTCATCTTCACTCATCTTCAAGGTTTCTGAGTGAGCCAAGTTTATGTGAAGGCCTCTAGTACTATTAGATTCACAGAATACTATATGGATTTATGTCATTTGCTCTCTTTGAGAACTTTTGTAAAGGAATGAAATGTGGCAAATATTAACTCTTTCATGGCATATGATCATTATAAACATCATATCTTTTGAGACTTCATGCGGTTACCATTGAACAAATCCTGTTTTATTTGTTACCACTTAAGCTCTTGAAAAGGGCTCTTCGGTGATGCATCATTCTTTCAAATAAGTTGCAGTTCAGGCAAGCTGGATCAAAAAGAAAAGTTGTGACCTGATATTTTTTATTTTTTGTGAAATGGAATTTTGAACGAAAAAGTAAAAAAAAAAATTTTTTTTTTTGGAAATGGGAAGAATATGCCTGCATGCTGCAAGAATGAATGGATACATTTGGGACAAAGGCCAAGTTTTAGGGGCTCCCCATGTGTGAACAATAACCTGTTATTCAATATTTTCGGTTGATGATTCTTGTAATTAAATAATTCCATTTTTGAATATATGAGTGAATATTTGAAATTTTCTGCAAGCTCTGTCTTTAGCTAGGCCTGTTCAATAGAAAAAGCGGTGAAAAAATGTCCTAGTTATTCATTTTCTTAATTCAGCCATGAACGGGTAAAGAAAGTGAGTCTGAGGAAATGTAGAATGAATTCTGAGAGTAATACAGTGAAAACTCGTTAACTTGAATTCGCTTATCTTGAATTTCCGGATATCTTGAATGAAATTTTCACTCCCTATAACGATTTTCTCATGGTTAACTTGAATTCAGGGTGAGAAGGGGGGAAAAATTCTACTTGTGGGACTTTTTGATTTTTGAATAGAATGAATGACAAGAAACCCGTTCGGGAGGATGCTCTTTTGTTTCTTTTGTGTTTTTTTTTTCCGCTTCTCCTTCCTCCCACAGATGCCTGTGGAGAGGATTAAAACCGAAAAGTTTTGGCTATAAAAAAAAAGCCTCCAACACATTTGCTCTGTCAATCTATTGGGACATTTGGGGTTGACATATTCCTGATAACTCGAAACAATTTGCCCGGTCCCTAAAAGTTTGAGTTAACGAGTATGTTAAAATATCTAGTCAACCCCAAAAACAAGACATCAAGATATCATTGGCCCTGCCACTATTGATGCCTATGCCTACTTAGAGAAATCCAGAGGCATGATTTATAACTAAGCTTCATTCAGTTGGCATTCCTGGCACCATGGAAGTCTGCAATACAACCTATTTTGTTTCTGATAGTACCTGATAGAAGCAGGATGGTGCAGGGGAGGACACATGGTGGGAATAACTGAACCACGTAGAGTTGCTGCTACTGCGCTTGCCACAAGAGTAGCTGATGAACGAGGAACAATTGTTGGGGATGAAGTTGGTTATTGCATACGTTTTGATGATCACACAAAACCTGGTTTAACACAAATCAAGGTAAGCCTTTCCTCCTCCTTTTTTGTTTTCTGCTGGAATTTGTCATGGGTGGTTGAAAACTTCTATAACTTTCTTTGATGCCAGTACATGACAGAGGGCATCCTTGTGTGTGAGATGATGGCAGACCCACTCCTCCGCAGTTATTCTGTCGTCATGCTTGATGAAGTCCATGAGCGTACTCTTTACACTGATGTGGTCTTGGGCCTGATGAAGAAGATCATCAAGGTCAGCATCGATGGCTATGGAAGAAAACATCATACTTAGAACTTTTTTCTTTCCATGTTATTTGTTCATTTCATGTTGCCATATTCATTTCATTGGCTTTAATTTTTTTTTTAATAGAAACGGCCAGACTTGCGTCTGATTGTATCATCAGCAACTATGGATGCAGAGGAGATCAGTGATTACTTCAATGTTAAGAAGGATGGAAAGGATACTTCGATCATATTGAGCATTCCTGGTCGCACCTTTCCCATTGAGGTCTTCTATATAAGAGGTAAACAGCTTTTTACATTCTTATGATAGAAAAATCATCATCAGGCCCTACATTATAATATAGTTTCAGTGTTTTTGATTTGCCATCTAATGAAATTTCTTACTCAACTTTATATATATATTTTTTTTTCAACAGGCTCAAGAAAGAAAGCTTATTTGAATTTTTAATAGATGTATTAATTAGATGAAGTGAGTAATTGGATTAGATAGCTTTTGAGATTGAGTAGATGGATTAAACAGAATGGTTCTCTATTGCAGATCCAGTTCCTGACTATGTAAGAGCTTCAGTAGAGACAGCAATGCGCATCCATAGGTTAGAGGAAGCAGGAGATATTTTGATGTTCCTCACTGGTCAAGAAGAAGTGGACTCTGCTGTCTCTCTTATTAAACAAGAAGTTGCAAGTCTCAGGAAATCAAAATGTGAGCCATGTGTTTGCATATCATTTACTCACCTATAAAATCTCAAGTAGAGAGGGACTGTTGAGTTTGACTTTGTCAGTATACTCAGTGTAGATGTTTCCTCATCTGTAGAGGACCAGAGCTTAGCCACCAGATCTTTGAGGGCAACATTTTTTAAAACCAAAAATTCACATTTTCAGCTCTTGCATGTGATGCGTTGACATCTTGCTCTTGGACCAAAGAAACGACTCTGGCATTTAATATTACATTTCTTTTACTATAGGGTTATTCATTGCTTGACTTATCCTGCAGACTGCTCTCAAGTGGTACGAGCTTCTAATCTATTACTGGAGATTATTTTATTTACTTTATTACTTTATTATTATCACTCTCTGTTCCATTGTGATCTCAATGAGCTTTCTTTATCAGAGTGGGCTTGGATTGACCCTGGTGTTAGAGGGGATGTTTTGAAGGATTTTACTTGCTCTTACAGTATTCATAGGGTTGCTTGTTGAAAGGTATTTTCTTTATGTACTGTTTACATGATGAAAGGAAATGTCTTGAGATCATCTAAGATAGATGCAGAAAACAGTTTTTCTCATGAAATGGAAAATTTTTTGTGAATGAGGGGTTAAGCCATAAACATATCATGCACACTAATACCCTTTCCTCATGTTTTTGGTTGCAGATGATGTCCTGGTACTTCCCATGTATGGAGCACTGCCTGCTGGAGAACAACTAAGAGTCTTCCTAAATCCTGGCCACAAAACTCGGAAAATTGTTGTAGCCACAAACATTGCTGAAACCTCAATAACTATTCCAGGCATTGTTTATGGTGAGATGCAGCTAGCTCATTCTTATCTATTTTTTAGTGAGCCTCCTTTCTTTAAAAAGAGTAATATGCTGCATGTGGTTTTTTTTCACTTGGTTGTCAACATATGTGGTCATACTACTGCTTCAAATCTTCTAATCTTTTTCCCAAACTCATAAATGTGATAAATGTGACATTCTTTGGCACATTAAAACTGTAAACCAGTATAAATTTGTTATAAAATAAATTTAAAACTCAAAAACTCTCTCCGTAGAGTAGTGTAGAGGGTGTCATCCCACCTCAACCATCAACCATCACCTTGTACTGAATGGTTTCAATAGTTCACTTGTAGTTTGGTTGCAGTTAAACTGTTGTCAATATTGGGTTTTTGTCCAACTTACAGCTGCAATTAACTAGATCTCTGACCAGACTCTTTTGCAACCTGGATTTTGAAATCCCTTGCAAGTAGTTTCATGGAAAACCTGTCCTCTCATCACTGCATCACTACTTGCCTAGCTTCAACTAATTGTGGTCACCAGTTCTGCCAGCACCTCATAATGTGATGAAAGTAAATATGTGCTCAGCATTCTGCATGCATAAGAATCCAGTTCACTCCATGACCTAGGAATCTGTCTGACCCAGTTTAGCCATTATTTGTCTATAATGGAAGAAATAGCCAACTCAGATACAGGTAACTCATCAGACTATGGTTTGAGGGGCCCCTTGTGGACAAGTCATCAACAAAAATGTTATGGTGATAATAACAAAAAGTGTTGCTGTACTAAAAACCAAACTTATCATTTGAACTTATCAGTCTACTGGTATTCTCATGCTTTCTCCACCTCGCCTCTTTACTCTTCAAACCTCCAACGATTTTGTTTGTAGGCATCTCATCTCTAACAGATTGTTCAAAGAAGGTTCATGAACGGACTGGGACTTGTTTTTTATTATATGCTATATATACTAATGGGATCTTCCCTCTTGTAGTTGTGGACTGTGGATTTGTAAAATTGAGATGCTTCAATGCCAAGACAAGGAATGATTCTCTAGTCATTGTGCCCATATCACGAGCAGAAGCACAGCAACGAGCCGGTCGTGCTGGGCGACTCCGATCTGGCAGGGTGTTCAGGTACTGTCTCTTGAATCTGAACATTTAAATCTTTTTCTTTGTTGCTTGAGCCCTATTAGCCCTGCAAACCAAGTTTTTGCATGTAAAAGTAACTTTTATAGCAATATGAAAACAAATAACTCAGCAACCTTTTTCTCTCCTTTGCACTTCCATTTACAAGTAATGTTTGACAATATATGACTGAGTTTGTTAATGACATTGGTGAATATTCCTGGCTGTTCAGGCTGACTATGATGGGAATAATGTAAAAGGGGTGCTGTAAGGGAATTACACTGGTTTTTGACAATGAAGTGTATTGCCTTTCATCTTTAGTCTGTCATCCTTGCAGGCTTTACTCAGAGGATGCATATGAGAAGCTGACACCTCATCTTCCATGTGAGATGCAAAGAACAGACCTGGCTCCTGTTGTTCTTCAGCTCAAGGCTCTGGGGATAGAAAATATCCTCCGATTTCCTTTTCTGTCACGCCCACCAGCTCAACATATGATCTTAGCACTAGATCTTCTGTATGCTCTGGGAGCCATAAATGATGATGGTAACTTGGCTGATCCCCTTGGCCTACAAATGGCTGAATTGCCACTGGATCCCAAGGTCTCCAAAATGCTTTTGTCATCAGGTAAGTAAGTTTGTTATACAATGCCTTGTTTTGCAGAAAAAAAGAGACCACTTTTGTCCTTTTGGGTCTGTATTTTTGCCACTTTTGTTTGTGTGTGGTCCATGTATGTAATATTTAAAGAGCATTTATCCCCTGTGACACATGTGACAGGTTTTTTTTCTTTGCATGATATACCTGTTCCATGTGCATAGCAGTCATCAGAATATAACAACACTAATGAACTGGTTTTTCTTTTGCAGGTGAATTTGGATGCACAGAAGAAATTCTGACACTGGTGGCTATGCTTCAGATCAATAATGTGTTCCAAAGACCCTCCTCTGGGAACCGAGCCCTCGAGGCAAGACGGAAAAGAAGAGAATTTGAAGTTGCTGAGGGAGATCTCATCACCCTCCTTAATGTCTACAATGCCTTTATCAAGGAGAAAAAGAGTAAACAGTGGTGTGGTGTAAATTTCCTGAACTACAAGGGCCTGATGAGAGCATGTGAGATTCGGTCATCAATGGCAGGGCTGCTTCGCAAGTTTGGGGTTCCATCATCCTCTGCTGCTGGTAAGTCTATGCCTCATTGTGAAGCAATGATAAATATGGGTATGGCATCTGTTTTTGTACGCAGAGAATGTATTTCTAATAATGCATCAAAAAATTTTATTATGTTTGCCCTACTCACAATAAAAAGACACTCTCTTGTGCTTATTTCTATATTATGTGATGGTCTCCTGTGGCACAATATAATTGACCAATATTGGCCCAATACAGTGTGTCACTGGGGGTGCACCCCTCTTTTATGTGTAACAGATTTAAACAGATTGATAGCATCACAAAATAAACATATTTTGATGAATGCAATGTGACAAATATGTTGGTGGAGTTGTTCTATGGAACAATCAAGGAGAAAGTTCTTTCATTCTTTATCATTGTGACTCCAAATAGGGTTGTGACTCCAAGGTTGGAAACTGCTGCTTTAGGGGCTTATACATTTTATACACATGAATAGTCAGTCAAAATAGTCAAGAGTCAGATTATTCTTTACAGTTTGGAGGGCTCAAGAGCAGATACCAGTTGATGATGTATGAAGGGAAATTATATGACTGTCTTGGCCATGGAATCTGGCTTAACTAATTGCAAAGATTATTCTGAACTTATTGAAGAGTTTGGATTGATGGAGTACCAGAAGGCATGTTTGTAAGGATATAATCAGATGTGTTTTCATATTGATTCTAAAACATAATTCATTTACACTCAGCAATAAATGCAGCAGTGATTTTCCAGGTAGGGAGGGTTGCTAAAAGAGGGGCCTCATTACAGTTTGCACAAAACCCTTAAAAACTAGTGAAGGACCTTTAGAGCCAGTACCAGGTGAGAAGGTTTATGGGAACTTTATTGTATCATTCTACCTCACTTCATTGTCAAACCACAAGTTTCAACTCTCTGCCTGGCTGTATGAATAAGTGAGAAAGAGAACTTTTTCTAAAAAAAATTTTATGGGAGGAAGAAAAGTTAGTTTTTGCTCTATTTGGTGTTGGATGGATGACGTTGAGTACTCTTTTCCTTGTCTTTGCATAGGTGATGTGCAAGCAGTGTGCAGGTGCATAACAGCAGGATTCTTCCCCAATGCAGCCTATCTGCATCATTCTGGCACTTACCACACTGTGCGTGGCGAGCCAGGCCTCCACATTCATCCCACTTCTGTGCTCTACACAGAAGAGCAGCCTCAATGGTGCTGTTATCATTATGGGCAAAGATTTGTTTTGAGACCTATTCAGTTTCACTTATTGCAGCATGAAGCTCTGTAGTCTGTTCTTTTACTGGTACAGAATTTTGATGGTAAACTACAGGATTCTGTTAACATATAGGGATTAAAACAAGATAACAGGCTCAAATGTCACATGTACATCAAGTCATGCATTGAATCTAATATGAATTGCTTCAAGTGTAATTCGCTTTTCTTATTCATTCCATAGGATTCTTTATGCAGAGGTGATCCATTCAAGCAAGATCTATGTGAGAGATGTCACAGTGATTGACCCCAGTTGGCTTGAAGAACTTGCACCTCATTACTATGAGAAGAGGATTGAAAGACCCTTCAGTCTGTGATCTGCATTGTGATTGAGTCCAGGAAGTGAATCTTCAAGACTTTCCAAACACTCGCTGTATTTCCATTCTCATCTCATTGCCAGATGAATGGTTCTTCTTTTCTAACAAATGCAATTCTTGCTGCTACACACTAATCACACTTTATTTCAAGACAAGGAACATCACCGTCTAAAACTAAGTAACATTTCCAGAGAAAGCAGGCAAGGCACTTCTCTGCTTTCTCATTTGTTGGTTTTTCTTTGGCAGCATCAGGTAACCCAGTCTAAAGAGAAGCACCTTGCTCACATGTCTTATTGCAAAAACATATTTATATCTCTATTTTCTATAATCTCTAAAAACTTGTGCAAAAAGAATCACCATGTATGTAGATTGCACAATGAACCAGTGCTAAAATCCCCCACCCTGATTATGGTTGTATATTGAGCTAGAACGAAGTAATCTCACACTGGTTGTGAGGTTGCAGAGTGAAATGAGAGTTATGCGAAATCCCCAAAGATGTTGTTGGAGTCTGGCTCTGAGCTGCTGACACGTCGCTCTGCAAGCTCTCAACCATCTGTGCCATAATTGCAATCATCAGACACTAGAATGACATAACACGAAATGAGACTAGGAATAGGAAAAACCGCCGACTCTGAAACCCGTCAGAAGCCTATCACAGAACCGTAGCATTCCAAGGCGAGGATGAAAAAGAGAAGCCGAGGCAGAGTGAATTTCAAGACCATTGATGTTCCCAAATCAGGAGTCATTCGGATGCAATCTGCTTTGTGTGGGAACGCCGTTTTCAGAGATGTTGGTCATGAGAGCAGCTTGCAACAGAAATCCTCCTGCGACGGAGTTTCGAGGGCCAGTAAAACTCGAGAACCAGAAATCTACGCGCACACAACACCACAACAAAACCTTCCTAATTAAGAGGTATGCAATGCCAGAATGAAGAATACTTCATGATGACCAGGTACACGTTTGAACATGACACTTAGGTCCCCTTGGCTGGCGTCACCATGCAATGTCGATGGCATATCATTTGCATGTAAGACCTATGTGTCATACAAACGGATTCGGAACTGCGGATGCAACACCCTGGAATGAGAATTCCCTCTGCCTCGGCAGGAAAGGGCTTTCCAGCTTTTACCAGCTTTCCTTCAATCTGTACCAACTCTGGAGTCCCGAGCCCTAAACTCTAATCACGGAAACGAACAACCGCTAATTATGTAACAAAAGAAATCACTCAGAATCATGTCAAGAACTTCAAAACAAACTACAGTGACACAGGGAAAAAAAAAATTAAGAGAATTGAACGGTCCAGTCGTTCGACCTTCGTCACCCGATCTCGAGATCCCATCGTCGAATGGATCTTCCGAGAAGAGGCCATCCGAGAAGGGGATCGGCGCCGATCACCCGAGGTCACCACCTCGAACCATCCGAGCATCGAATCGCGTCCACATCGGCGCGGATTCCCTTTATTTCTTGGGCGGTCTCCTTCGGGAAGGAGCTTCCCTTCGTTTCATTCGTTTGCAACAGGTCTTCATTTTGTCCCGCACCTATACATATAATGATAGTATTCAATAACTCCACTCGAATATGCGAACTCCTGGAAAATCTCGCCAAGGGGAAAATACTCACGACTTGGTTCCCCATGCAGTGAAAGAAGAAGACCATTCCCCCCAGCACCCCGTTCATGACAGAGAAGGTGCCATAAAGCGGGAGATTCTGCTCGTATTCCGACAGCATCCCCACCACCCACGACGCGAACACCATCGGCATGATGAACAGATTCGTCCTCTACAAAAAAAGAAACTCCCCGCTGACGGGCGATGGAGACGGCAGATTTAAAAAACCGAGATGCACCGACCTGGGAAATCCGGGCCGAGAAGAATTGAGATTGATTGATTTTATCCAAGGATTTGAAGTCGGCGCTGCCCGCAGCCTCGATGAGAATGAAAGTGAGAACGACCAGAGCGACGATCGGCACGAACTCGGCGAATACCAACGGCGTGTCCATCTGAACCCAGCAACTGCGGAAAATGGATCATAAACGCGATTTTTCGATCGATTGCGGCACATTCCATTGCAATTCCCGCTCCCGCCACTGCAAAATAAATGGAAATTTACTGTGTGAAGAAAACTCTCGGCCCCATTTGCTCCCAACGAGTACTTACCGCATTGATCCAAACACGGAAACGTATCAAACGATGCCTTTTTCACAGCCTACTTTCTCTCTCCACGTGTATCTTATTGCTCCCTCTACCAGACATAACACGATACTATAACATATGGATGCCATGGTTACTCTCATATTACCGCGTCCTTCATCTCGACGGAATGCAGAACGACCGCCTCCACTTACCCACCCCACCACCTCCACCACCTCCACCACCTCCACCGTCCTCCTCTTCTTCGTCGGCGCCACCCTCATCCTCTTCCTCTTCCTCCGGGTGTTCACCACCGACCGGGTCATCCAGATGAACATGGAGATCGCGCTGGCCCTCGCCCACGTCTGCCTGCTCTTTCCCTCGCAGGCTTCCTCGGATGTTGTGAGTTCCTCTCCTGCGTCCATGCCGTTTTTTTTTGTCTGTGTGACGAGGAAGAGGGTAAAGTGGTCCTCGTTACAATCCATTATCCATTATTATTTCCATTCAAGTTTTTTATGCGAAGAGCCGGTCGTTATTCACGCTGGTGTTAAGATTGCAGACGGTCTTGCCTCAGACCCCTCTGAATTTCGCCATAATTAAATCGATTCATCAATTACTCATCTGTTTTTCCTTCCATCGTTGCCACAGCTACCCAGCCTAGCAGAAGCCCCTTAAAAAAATTTTATTTTAGGTTCTCTGCCGCGTCCTGAGCATCCTGTTGCACCTATTTTTCACCGCGTGCTTCATGTTCATGTTCCTGGAGGCCCTGCACATGTACGCCCTCGTCTCCTACGTGGTTCGTAAGGACGGGCTCCTCAGTCGGTTCCAGAACGTCCTCGTCGGCTGGGGCATCGCCATCTGCGTCACCCTAGTCACTTTGTGCTTCTGCTACGAGAAATACGGAGGACCAAATCAGTGAGTCAAGAATTCACTCGGTCGGGTGGTGGGGGTGGTGGGGGTGGTGGAGGTGGTGGGGGTGGTGGAGGTGGTGGAGGTGGTGGAGGTGGTGGAGGTGGTGGAGGGGGTGGAGGTGGTGGAGGGGGGGGAGGTGGTGGNGCAGGAGCGAGCCGGTTGGTCGATACTTGATAATGAGTTTTATCTTCCCTTTATCTTCATTCAAGGCGCATGAAGAAAACCATTAGTGCGCAACGAAAAAATTCTCCCTCCGCTTTCGAGCTTCGGTATATCTCGGATGCCCCCCCCCCCCCCCCCCCCCCCCCCAAAAGGAAACCGACTCACTTCCGCATTCGACCTTGTTTTTCCAGTACTCGTTGCAGATCTCCCGCTGGATCTGGAGCTGGTTCCCTCTGCAGATCTGCATGTTCGTCGCGTTCCCGCACATCGTGTGTTTCTCTCTCAGGCCATCCAGGCACCTGCTGGTGCAGTTGCTCCATTCCGACCACGTATTGTTACCTGTTGGAAGAGGGTTGGGGGGGATTAAGGATTAGAGGTCAATCGAGCGTGATGTGAAATCGAGACGGTCATCGTCATCGTCTGGAGTTCACCAGCGATTGCGCCGTTCGCGATCGACGACGATCCGCAGTAAAATGGCCTACGTTCATCACGAAATGGTCTACGTTCATGACGTTATGTAACGTGGCTGGTTGCGTTTCGGCTTTAGAGGATGGTGAGACTTGTTTTTATGAACTTGCTATCGATTACCATGATCGATGATCACCACCACCGATCGATCGAGTACCATCGTGGCGAAAACCAATGCCTCGCGTCGAAGCCATCTCGGCGCAAATCGCCACGATGAGGAAAGCAGGTTTCGTTCAGAGGAGAAATGCGAAAGCGAACCTCGTGTTTGTTCCGATCGGGGCGGCGATCAAGTCGATCGTCGAGTCTTCGCGTTTTTCCTGCCGATTCCGTTAAAAAATATATATATATATATAAGAAAGGGCTTATCGTGCTGCGAGAAACCCTGCAGCAGGCCCGCTCGACCTTGCAAAGCACTACTTGAAAGGCAACCAGAGCCACAAACGAAGCAGCGATTGCAAGCGGCACGGGCCCAATTATAGACCTGAAAGACTGTTTGTTTGGCGCAGAACGATTTTTTACTGCTTTTGGCAATAATCTTTTAGTGCCAATAATCCGTCACTGCCAAGATATAGTCATAAAATGCGCAGAAACGATCGTACCTCGCACGATGATCGTTATTTGTGTGCGCGGAGTACCAGAAGGTGCTCACCACAGGGTTGAGGGTTGCAGGGTTGCACGATGGAGTTGTTCCCCTGGCACTGAAGGCTGGGATCACCCGGAGGATCGGGGACGGGATTGGTGCAGGTGCGGAACACGGTCTGGGTGCCTCCGTCGCATTCCGCGCTGCAGGGTGATTTGAAGGTTCCCCAGTCGCTCCAGTCGCCTGCTGCCCCGCCTGGGGGGGGGGGGGGGGGGGGGGGGGGGGCGGGGGGGGGGGGGGGGG